TTTAAAAATGATGAATAGATCTGGAAAGGAATAAGAGCTCACAGTATTTAAAAATAGCTAAATATCGGTCTAATATGCTTATTTTAGGATAGGAGAATATACGTATATTAAAAATAAAAAGGCATTTATTTTTTATATGATTTTTTCATATACAGTACAAACTTCCTGTAAAGGACAACACCTAATTGCAGAGCCAAAGTGTCCTTTAGATAGAGATGTCCTCTTACAGGAGAGTTACTAAATAGTAAAAAATGGTAATTTTACAAATGAAAACTGTCCTTTGTGGAGAGGTGTCCGCTAAAGTGAGATTCTACTGTATACACCCATACCTCGCTTTGCGTCGGGGTTACGTTCCAAAAAAACACGACGCAAATTGAAACGACGCAGAGTGAACATAATAGAAGGCGCAATCAAAAACAAAGGTGTTGCCATATTTTAGGAAAAAAAATTCAAAAAAAAAAAAAATTAAAGACTCGAATCCAAAACAACGCAACTTCGAAAATCTAACGACGCACAGTGAAAATCAGTAAAAATTAAGCAGCGACGCAACTTCGGAAAAAACGCAAAAGAAACGACGCAAAGCGAGGTATTGGTGTATATTAAGCAGCAAACATAAATAAATTCCGAGGATAAGTTTCTTTTATTTGAAAAATAATAGTCTTCGAGCTTTCGGGCGTAAATAGCCCTTCTTCAAGAAAATAGGAAGTAATTTTAAATTAAATTTTGAATTTCAAATAGAAATGTTTGTAAACAATTAGATGGTGTTTTTCTTTGGTCCTGCATAGCGTGAGTGAATCTCGTATCCACGTGATTTAGTTCTAATCTAAAAACCTTTATAAAGAGAGGTGTTTTGCCCCCAGAAATATGCTATGCAGGACCAAAGAAAAACACCATCTAATTGTTTACAAACATTTCTATTTGAAATTCAAAATTTAATTTAAAAATTACTTCCTATTTTCTTGAAGAAGGGCTATTTACGCCCGAAAGCTCGAAGACTATTATTTTTGAAATAAAAGAAACTTATCCTTGGAATTTATTTATGTTTGCTGCTTATTATACACCAGAGGATTCCACCTTATGATTGGTGTATATATAACAAGGAAATTATTTACAAATCTCGACAGATGTCAAAATACAACTGAGAGATATATAAACAAACTATTTACAAGAGAGAAATATTTATAACCCAAGTTCTCTCATGATGTAACAACCAGGATTCCTGGAGCCACCACCACGTACACCAACTATCCGGGTTGTCTAATGGTGGATGGACATCATATGTACTGTACTAGGTTCTGTTGTCAAATTATATTAACAAATATTTGCATTTTTTAATCTTATCTCATATTTTAATGGGAAGGGTTTTGTTATCTTTTAATAGTGTACCAATCTCTCCCGCCTTCTCATTGGACGAATGTGGCCATGTTTGTATATATAAGGGGGCTATGGTATTTCGGGGCTCGAAAATCATTCATTTTGGTTAGCAGCCCCGTAAATAAAGATATTTCCTGAGAGGGGAGGTCGAGAGGCCAGTGTGGTAAAAGTTTTGTGTAGAGACGCTTATAGTGTTCTCTTCGTATTTTATCCGTGTCTGGTGATCTCTTCGCATTCCCTGTGTAACCCCGGTCTGATCCCTACCAAAGAAACAATAAAAATAAGTACTCTTTTTTTTTTTAATTTAACCAATTGTAAGTTTATTTACCTCTTTTTTTTTTTGTTGTACTTTTGAGTGTACGCTTTTTGTGTGTTTAGTTTCTATTACTTCAGGCCCTAGTTTATTGCATTTTGTGTTAACCCGTACAAAGTAACTTTTTGTCACTATACAGAGGTAAATATTCCTAAAAGGAGGGTGGTTGTTTGGAACCTTTGTAGGTGGGACATCTGTGGTGGTCGGCAGTTTGTTGTCTTCATCGTGGTATCCCAGGTGTTTTTTCCTGGAGGATTATTTACAAATAAAATACTGATGTCATGTGACTGATGATGATTTGCCGAGTAGACCACCACAGAGTATTCTGTGTGACCTATATTTATATGTAGAACGACATTTGAAAATTATCCCGCATATGTTTCTTTAGAAGAAAAATCGAAATTTGTTTTAAAGAGAAATTCCCATCCCTGGACACTTTTATTTTTCCGTTTATCATTACTCTTCACAATTCATCCTTTCATACTTCATCCCTAAGGTTAGAAATAATCGTTATTTCTCCTTAGAATAAATTTCGATTTTTCTTCTAAAGAAATACATGTGGGATAATTTTCAAATGTCATTTTACAATCATAAGCCGCATTATATTGTATTATATATATATATACTATATTAATAAAATGCAAATTTCATAAGTGTTGTTCACTAAAAACTTTCGTTACAATGCATCAATTTCGACCAAATTTTCAACATTTATGTAAAACGAGATGGAGCAGGTTTTGCTTAACATCAAAATATTTTTCCCTAACATTAACATGCGTAACTTCGCTGTTATCGATTAAATACAAAAAAATCAACAGAGTTAATTTTATTTATATATAAATACAAAATTAAATTTCAACAGAGTTAATTTTTTTACATACTAGCTAATAATCTCAATCTAAAAAATATTCAAAACAAGCAATTTTAAGATAACATCATATGTAAAACAGTCGGCCAAGAAAACAAATAACGTGTAATATATATATAATAAATATAATATATATAATATAACGGTATAATAACGGTATAAAGAAATAATGAGCCTATCGTTCAAATTTATAATTGTAACGAATTGTATTTTAATTAAAACATTTTTAAAACACACAGTTTGGAACGGGACGTTTCACAAGAGTGACATCCATGGCGCCAATTTATAATTGTATCGAATAGTATTTGAATTAAAACGTTTTAAAAATATATACGCACTCGGGTAAAACCCGGGCGTTGCCCGGGCCATTCGTATTATATAAATATAAAATAAAAAATATGATGTAATGAATATTATTATCATTATTATCATAATAGTCTATGTTCCGGAAAATTATTTTCAAAAAAAATCGTTTGGCAAACTTTCACTCAGATAAAACCCGGGCGAAGCCGGGTACACATCCGCTAGTATATATATATATATGTAAAAATTATATTATGAAATAGTACCCATGTGAATTTTAACTGGGATAATGTGAATAAATTAAGAAAGAAAAAGGAATACTCCTTATTGTACAACTGAAAGAATAGTGCAAAATCAACAAATAGTTTATATTTATTCCGATAGATGGCGCAAGCCATCATCAACTTTCAGTTGCACGATAAGGTTCAGTTCACTAAGGCTACCAAGACAGACTCCACAAAACAGCCTGGGTAGTTGGCAATCTAAGGATACGCTCCAGGAGTCTGGGTTACCTTTATGTTACTACACTGGAACTTTCCTCATTGCTTAACTTGTATCTTATAATTGTTGATTGGTGCTTGCATTAAATAAATTGATGTGTCATCCTGAAGTTTATCTTTACTAATTTTCTACAATATTAATATTAGTATCCTCTCATTACTACTAATTAGAGGATTATATAATGATATATTCATAATATAATTTACATTTGTCAAAACAATATTCGTTTGACAAATATTCACTAGGGGCAAAGCTTGGTTATTCAGTTAGTCTATAATATAATTCTAATCATTTTATAATTCTAAAATATGATAAATAGTTTATTAGTCTAAATTTAAGCTTTGAATAGTTTATATATGTTAATTTATATATTGTAGCGAATTACTAAATATATGTATAGATTATTAATTTCGATGTTAATATATAGGTTTTTTTAACTTTTAATTAGATAATTTTAATTTATATTTAGACATTTTTCATTTTAATTTAGACACTTTCATTTTTATTTACATTTTCTCAATTTTAATTTATACATTTTTCATTTTAATTTAGAAACTCATTTTTATTTAGACATTTTCAATTTTAATTTAGACATTTTCCATTTTTATTTAGACATTTTTCATTTTAATTTATACATTTTTCATTTTAATTTAGACATTTTTCATTTTAATTTAGACACATGAAATTTTCTATAAAATGTCTGTGTGTCTAAATTAAAATGAAAAATGTCTAAATTTAAATATAAAATGTCTAAATAAAAATGAAAGTGTTTAAATTAAAAAATGTCTAAATATTGAAACATAGTATTTATTAATTTTATTATTTTTTTATTAACAGAGTGGTCATTTTTATTTTTATATCTTGCGACTCTGTAAATTTCCCTCGTGGCTTATCTTTTGTTTACCATTCATAGTTTGTTTTTGCCTGAAAATAAATTGTTGTCTCCTCCTGAAGTTTTGTCTTCCCTAATTTTCCACGTGGCATTTTGGTGGAGATGCTGGGTAAGTTAGGGAAGACAAACTGAAGATCGCCGAGAAGAATTTGAAGCCATGGGTGCTGTGATCTACATTTTCAGAGACTGACTCCAGGATTCCACCGCCGTGTCAAAGCCAAGACATCCCTCCAAGATGATGATGTCCCTATAGACGATACGACGACAAAGCCGCACGCCGCAAGAAAAAAGGACGCAAAGGTACTAGGGACAAAGTTCCAAGACTTCGATGGAATCCTTGGCAGAAGCACGTCAGATCCATGTCAGTATCTACAATAATTGCTAGCTGTGGGTCACAGCTCCCATAGGGAAGAAGCTATGTAACATAGTATTTATTAATTTTATTATTTTTTTATTAACAGAGTGGTCATTTTTATTTTTATATCTTGCGACTCTGTGAATTTCCCTCGTGGCTTATCTTTTGTTTACCATTCAGTTTGTTCTTGTCTGAAAATAAATTGCTTTCTCCTCCTGAAGTTTTTGTCTTCCCTAATTTTCCACGTGGCAATATATATTAAAATTGTCTAATTAAAAGTTAAAAAACCTATATTTTATTACTCTGCGTAAACTTTTCTTATTGCTTCTATTGTATTTTATCGATTTTAATTTGTAATAAATAAATTGCCGCGACATCCTAAAGTTTGTCTTCTGTCAGTATGGCAAAGCGGTCTAAGGCGCAAGGTCGCAGTCTACTCTTCTTCTTTCTTATCTCCACACTGAGTGAAATAGAATGCGTCTGCCTTTGTCATTAAGACTGGGAGCATTACTCAGTGGCAGGCCGACTTAGCTCCAAAAGAAATGGCCGCCTCTGACATGAGGAACAGACGCCATGTGCAGCCACTCCTAACATGGAGTACAAATGCTGCTCATTCTGTATTCCTGGATTAGGAGCCCTTACAGGGTACTATCAGCCGGGCCAGCTGAGACCAGGTTTTTTAGTGAGCTTGTTACTGCTCCCCCTCCACCTTTTTCATCCGGGCTTGGGACCGACAAGGGCGGAGTTAGTCTACTCTTGTAGGCGTGGGTTCGCATCCCACTTCTGACAATATATATATATATATATATGTCATAATATATACCCTTCCAGGAATAATAAAACAAACCTAGAGCCATCCCAGAGAGAGATGGTATGTAAAGTCCAGTCAATTGAGAAAGCAGCGACATTCCAAAGGGGCGGCAAATGGGGCCCGCCCGTCAACACCTGAGGACTATTTTTGGACAGTTTTGCGGGGGGCGTGCGACACAAACGGCCGTTCAGCGGTGGCGCTCCCTCTCTCTCGGATGGCTTCCAAATTCCTCTGCCAATTTGTGGCGTGATTATTTCCCTTTCCCCACATTATCACTATATTGTCACATATATATATATTGCCCTCCTGTAAGGTCTGGAGGGGGGCCACCTCTACTCCACCAACTCACCATATGTAAATAGCCAGGACAAGGTGACTCGACACTTGTAAACTGAGACGAAATAAATAAATAAGTTTGTCTTTCCTCATTTTCTACGCGACAATATATTCAGTATGTAGGATGGTTGCGTGCGTGTTGGTGTGGCTTGTGGAAAGGCCGCTGATAAAATTTTAATTATATTTTTATAAATAAATTTATTTATTTAAAGCCAGAAATATATAAAGAGAAAAGAAGTAACGGCCGTTGGAAGCAAGCCTTGTTGTTGACGACGCGCGTGGCCAGAGTCCAGGATGCCGCTCGCGCATGCGTATTCAGGTGTTCTCTCAGCTCGCGGTTGCCAAGGCCGTCACACTACAACCCGTATGTTTAGTAAAGCTTTATTCCAGTTCGCGCTCGCTGAAGCAAAGTGTGGTCGCCACAAGTATATACATGTACTTATGCAAAATATTGTTTTCAGTAGTTTCAGTGTAGAATAGTATCAAACACATCAATTTAACTTTCTAGCAGAAATAAATTCCAGAGTTATTTTAGTATTTATTTCTTGGAAAAAAAAGACAAATTTCTTAAATTTTCTAATGGATAATAATGATGTGATTGTACTAATTTATTATCATTAAACATCATCACATCCGTCAATATATTTTTAAAATACACTCATGGACACACAAAACTTAAGAAAATGGAAGGTCTTTGATGTGGCCAGTCGTTTATTATTTATTTATTTTTTTTTTTATTGAAGGAGACAGAGGCAATTTTGTTCATACTTGGTTATTTCGTGTGTCTTCAATAAAGGTCACTGTAATATATTTCAGAGTTATTGTCTGAATCCCGATAAACATGCTAAAACTTCCCTAAATTTTGTCATGAATGTAAAGTATAAATGTAAAATTCGTTGAGGGGATTATGATACAAGACTTCTCTAGTGGCCTCCATGCACGAGCGTTGTACTGGGGATGCCTCCTCCCTCCATCTTATAGATGGTTGGGAATATCTTCACTTCAATAAAGGTCACTGTAATAACTTTCAGAGTTATTGTCCCGATATACATGTTAAAAGGTACAACTTCCTTAAGTTTTGTCCATGAGTGTATACACACTTGGTTATCTTGTGTGTCTTCAACAAAGGTCACTGTAATATCTTTCAGAGTTATTGTCCCGATATACATGCTAAAAGGTACATCATCCTTAAGTTTTATCCATGAGTGTATACACACTTGGTTATCTCGTATGTCTTCAATAAAGGTCACTGTAATATCTTTCAGAGTTATTGTCCCGATATACATGCTAAAAGGTACATCTTACTTAGGTTTTATCCATGGGTGTATACACACTTGGTTATCTCGTATGTCTTCAATAAAGGTCACTGTAATATCTTTCAGAGTTATTGTCCCGATATACATGCTAAAAGGTACATCTTACTTAGGTTTTATCCATGAGTGTATACACACTTGGTTATCTCGTGTGTCTTCAATAAAGGTCACTGTAATATCTTTGAGTTATTGTCCCGATATACATGCTAAAAGGTACATCTTACTTAGGTTTTATCCATGAGTGTATACACACTTGGTTATCTCGTATGTCTTCAATAAAGGTCACTGTAATATCTTTGAGTTATTGTCCCGATATACATGCTAAAAGGTACAACTTCCTTAAGTTTTGTCCATGAGTGTATACACACTTGGTTATCTCGTGTGTCTTCAATAAAGATCACTCTAATATCTTTGAGTTATTGTCCCGATATACATGCTAAAAGGTACAACTTCCTTAAGTTTTGTCCATGAGTGTATACACACTTGGTTATCTCGTGTGTCTTCAATAAAGATCACTCTAATATCTTTCAGAGTCATTGTCCCGATATACATGCTAAAAGGTACAACTTCCTTAAGTTTTGTCCATGAGTGTATACACACTTGGTTATCTCGTGTGTCTTCAATAAAGATCACTCTAATATCTTTCAGAGTCATTGTCCCGATATACATGTTAAAAGGTACAACTTCCTTAAGTTTTGTCTCCATGAGTGTATACACACTTGGTTATCTCGTGTGTCTTCAATAAAGTCACTGTAATATCTTTCAGAGGTATTGTCTGAATCCCGATATACATGTTAAAAGGTACAACTTCCTTAAGTTTTGCCCATGAGTGTATACACACTTGGTTATCTCGTGTGTCTTCAATAAAGGTCACTGTAATATCTTTCAGAGTTATTGTCCCGATATACATGCTAAAAGGTACAACTTCCTTAAGTTTTGCCCATGAGTGTATATACACTTGGTTATCTCGTGTGTCTTCAATAAAGGTCACTGTAATATCTTTCAGAGTTATTGTCCCGATATACATGCTAAAAGGTACAACTTCCTTAAGTTTTGTCCATGAGTGTATACACACTTGGTTATCTCGTGTGTCTTCAATAAAGTCACTGTAATATCTTTCAGAGGTATTGTCTGAATCCCGATATACATGTTAAAAGGTACAACTTCCTTAAGTTTTGTCTCCATGAGTGTATACACACTTAGTTATCTCGTGTGTCTTCAATAAAGTCACTGTAATATCTTTCAGAGGTATTGTCTGAATCCCGATATACATGTTAAAAGGTACAACTTCCTTAAGTTTTGCCCATGAGTGTATACACACTTGGTTATCTCGTGTGTCTTCAATAAAGGTCACTGTAATATCTTTCAGAGTTATTGTCCCGATATACATGCTGAAAGGTACAAGTTCCTTAAGTTTTGTCCATGAGTGTATACACACTTGGTTATCTCGTGTTTCTTCAATAAAGGTCACTGTAATATCTTTCAGAGTTATTGTCCCGATATACATGCTAAAAGGTACAACTTCCTTAAGTGTTGTCCATGAGTGTATACACACTTGGTTATCTCGTGTGTCTTCAATAAAGGTCACTCTAATATCTTTCAGAGTTATTTTCCCCGATATACATGCTAAAAGGTACAACTTCCTTAAGTTTTGTCCATGAGTGTATACACACTTGGTTATCTCGTGTATCTTCAATAAAGGTCACTGTAATATCTTTCAGAGTTATTGTCCCGATATACATGGTAAAAGGTACAACTTCCTTAAGTGTTGTCCATGAGTGTATACACACTTGGTTATCTCGTGTTTCTTCAATAAAGGTCACTGTAATATCTTTCAGAGTTATTGTCCAGATATACATGCTAAAAGGTACAACTTCCTTAAGTTTTGTCCATGAGTGTATACACACTTGGTTATCTCGTGTATCTTCAATAAAGGTCACTGTAATATCTTTCAGAGTTATTGTACGATATACATGCTAAAAGGTACAACTTCCTTAAGTTTTGTCCATGAGTATGATATTGCGGGAAGGCACCTCATGAATATCATTCTACCGTAATTTTAAGCCTGAATACCGACCATTACCACTTCCTCAGCTTAAACACCTTTTTGTCAAATTTGACAGATTTTATAACTTCTCTCGTAGGATGTAATGAAATTGAAACCGTCCCTGTACTGATGAGGGCCATAATCCGAAACTAATCGTATATACAGGTTGTTGGCTTTTGTCTGAATTTGCCAAAACTGGCGTTGTGGCTTATTCATCATAACCATCTTTATGTTCTGTACTGAGTCATGAACTGGGGCATTGTTTTAATGTCTTTTAAAGAAGGAGATGACTCTTTTGCTATATGGTTACTAATATTTTTATACATTAATTAATTATTTGAAATTAATATCAGCTAAAAAGTTTCTTTTTAATTTAAATTTGCAAGCTTTCGAGCAAATATACTGCTCTTTAACGGGCTGATATTCTATGTACAATCTCTAAATAATATATATACAGAATAATTGAATTTTTTTAAATTTAGAGATTGTACATAGAGTATCAGCCCGTTGAAGAACAGTATATTTGCTCGAAAACTTGCAAATTTAAGAAACCTTTTACCTGATATTGATTTTTACTTTTTCAAATAATTTCTGGGTTGGTTGGTTTGGCCTTGCTGGGATGTTATCAGCCTTTGGGACCTTAGATGGATTGCCTTCGGGGTCCTGGTCCTTTCTTTTAGAGCCTTTAGGCTTTTGGTAACCTTCGGAATTAGATGTATTTTCCAAAGCCTCAACACAGTCAGCCCAATTTGCATAGCTTATGCTAGCATTTGATGCAAAATTTTGCATGTTTTCTAGTTTCATTGTTGCTTTTAACGCTAACAATTTTTAATTTTTCAATAATTTCTGGATAACTATTGCTCACACAATTAATTATTTATTTAGTTAATTAATTAACCCAAGTGTTTTCTGAAGCCACTACGTACAGAAGTCACCAACTACCCGGGTTGTCCTTCTGAGACTGAAGTGTCTTCTTGGGTTTATTTACAATGTCACTGGAAGTCGTATTCATGAGGTAGCGCTATGCAAATTTATTTCTTGGGAGATTTTCTAGGGATACTGGACTTAGGTTGGGGATCCCTCAGATGGTATTTGACTACATAAGAAACAATTTCTTTTGACTCGCTGTTATTTTGACAATATGTAAATATTATTTAAAGTCTGTATATTAAGAAAAAATATTTTTATTTTTAATTAATTAACAATATTACATTTGTACGGTTTTACGGGCTACTAACCAAAGGTTACATTTGTACTATTTTTTCATATATATATATGTTAT